CTCAGCTTCACTAGTCATCAAAGAAATGCATATTAAAACTACACTGAGATATCACCTAACTCTAATCAGGATGGCCATCACCAATAACTCAAAAACCCAGATGCTGGAGAAGACGCAGCAAAAAGGGAACACTTCTACACTGTTGGTGGGAGTACAGCCTTGTGGCTAAAAATCAACCTTCCATACGACCCTGGAATCTCCCTACTGGGAATATACCCAGAAGAACTCAAATCACTCTATAAAAAAGATACCTGCACATGTATATTTATTGCAGCATTGTCCACAGTAGCAAGAACATGAATCCAACTGTGCTGCCCATCAAAAGAGAACCAGATTTTTAAAATGTGGTACATATACATGATGGAATATTACGCAGCCATAAAGAAGAACAAAATCATGAACTTCACAGCAACTTGGATGGACTTAGAGTCTATAATACTGAGTGATCTTTCACAGAAACAAAGACCTGAGTATCATATATTCTCACTCATAAGCAGACCTTGAACAATTATCATAGTACTTTAAGAAAAGGATTGACAGTAGCGGGAAACTGCCGGGAGTGGGGCAGGGAAGCGGAATTGGCAGTAGTGGGAGTCTGCCTGGGGAAGAAGGGACACACCTCATCAATAAGGGTAATGGCATAATGAACATTTGTATACCTAACCCTGAATTGTACCCCAAATCTTTAAAATAAAAAAATTAAAAGTTTGAAAAAAATTTCCACGTGGTATTCTTATGTTAATATTTTGCTTTGTCACTACTGAGTATTTTTGGATATTTAGAAGTGATAGATGTCTCTTAACTAATCAAGCTTTATGACAAATTTCAGGTTAAAAACTTTTGGAGCCAGGTTCGGTGGCTCAGCCTGTAATCCTGCGCCTATGGGAGGCTGAGGTGAGTGGATTGTCTGATCCTGCGGGTTCGAGACCCGCCTGGGCAGCGAGACCTCATCTCTACAATAAATCAAAAAATCAGCCAGGCGTGGTAGTGCATGCCTGTAATTCCGGCTACTCCAAAGGCTGAGGTGGAAGGATCGCCGGAGCCCAGCAGGTCAAGGCTGCAGTGGCCGGGAGCGGCCACTGCATTCCAGTCTGGGCGACAGAGTGAGACTCCAACTCAAAAAAAAAAAAAAAAAATTTTTTTGGAAGACCAACTTAGTTTTCCATAATCCAAGGACACATTTACAAAATAATTTTAATTGCTATTAAAATTCCTTAGAAATAAGGCCAATATCAACTAATCATAATCACAAAAGCATGCTTTACAGCCTAACGTGAATCTTTAAGATGGCAAAAGTGATAATATGCTGACAAAGTACAGAATTCTTATAGAAGAGAGTAATTGTAAACCATCATCCACTGTTTAGATGATGAAGCCACTTTCTTCACAGAACTCCCATTTCTTTCAAGTTCCATCAGTTGTTAACTAAATACTGCCCAACATGTAATTATAGATATTTACAACAGATGAACAAATTAATCATGCTATATTTCACAATGTCATAGATGATTACATATATAAGTATATATAATTCTCTCTTTATACATATATAGCTGTCATAATTGATTTTATATATAGAATTCGAGAGAGAGAGAGAGAGAGAGAGAGGAGGAGAGAAAAGGAGAGGAGAGGAGAGAGAGGAAGAAATGCAATGCTCCTGATAGCTGTAGAACTATTTTTCCTCTGAAAAATTGGATAGAGTAAGGATGCAGTCCACTCAGGCCTCCTTTACAATAGTTACAGATGAGACTTTCTGATGGCAGATGGAAGATAAAAAGAGGATAGATCAAGGATAACTCCCAAGTTTTTGACTTTGATGTCTAGCCATGAACTTAGTAAAGGTTAAAGTCTGGACCATTCTCTTAATATAAGAGAATCAAGTGAGCAAAAGGGAACAATTTTAACTTGGGCATATTGATTCAGAAGTACAAATAAATGGGTCTGGAACACAGATGAAATCAGCACAATGGAAAGGAAGAGTCGACGGACATCAGGGAACAAGTGATCATTGAAATCACGATGTGCCTGTTCAGAAGTCTTTGCGGATTAAGAGGAGAATGTCAAGGCTGGAGCACTGGACTTACCAACATGTAAGAGACAAGTTAGAAAGTCAGGGGAGTGTGGGGAGAGTTTTGCCACTGAATTCAAAAGGAATAAAGAACACATATCAAGGAGGAGTATTAAATAAAGCAGAATAATATGTGCTTTTGCAACACAATCTTACAATGCTAAGCAAGGGTAGATATTGCAGGTCTTAGCTTAATAAGCCATTGGTGTTTTTCCTATTTTTCATCTCAGCCATTCTCAGGCTGATTTGTAAAAACTAACTTTTGGAACATAACCTATGTATCAGTTTCCTAGAGTGCCATAACAAATTACCACAAACTCCAAGGCTTAAAACAACAGAAATTTATGTTCCCATAGTCCCAGAAGCCAGAAGTTTGAAATTAAGGTATTGGCAGGGTTGGTTCCTTCTTAGGGGCTCAGAAAAAGACTGTTCTATGCCTTTCTCCTAGCTTCTAGTGGTTGCGGGAAAACACTGGCATTTCTTGGCCTGAGACAGAATAACTACAATCTCTGCCTCAGTAGTCACATGGTGTTCTTCCTGGATGTCTGTGTCCACATTTTCCTCTTTGTATAAGCACAACAGTCACTGGATTACTCCAGCGTAAATTCATCTTCATTTGGTTAAATCTGCAAAAACATTAGTTCCCAATAAGGTGACATTCTGAGGTTTTGGATACATGGGAATTTTTGGACCCAGCACACCCATAAGTGTATGATCACAAATTTATAGGTGCTACAATAGCTAGACTCTAGAATAAAGAGATACATTTTTAGAAATTAGAATGGTAAGCCGGGCTTGTTGGCTCAGCCTGTAATCCTGCGCCTTTGGGAGGCTGAGGTGAGTGGATTGAATGAGCCCACCGGTTCAAGACTCGCCTGGGCAGCGAGACCTCATCTCTAAAATAAATCAAAAAATCAGCCAGGCGTGGTAGCGCATGCCTGTAATTCCAGCTACTCAGAAGGCTGAGGTGGAAGGATCACCGGAGCCCAGCAGGCCAGGCCGCGGTGGTCGGGAGCGGCCACTGCACTTGAGTCTGGGCGACAGAGTGAGACTCCAACTCAAAAAAAATAAAATAAAATAAAAAATAAAAGAAATTAGAATGGTACAAAAATAGATGAACTTTATGTGGGCACAAGTTGTTATACCTCAGTCTTTTTCAATTGTATAGGAATAAGCTATTTATTTATTTTTGAGTTGGAGTTCACTCTGTCGCCCAGACTGGAGCGTAGTGGCCGCTCCCGGCCACCGCAGCCTCAACCTGCTGGGCTCCGGCGATCCTTCCGCCTCAGCCTTCCGAGGAGCCGGAATTACAGGCACGTGCTACCACACCCGGCTGATTTTTTGATTTATTGTAGAGATGAGGTCTCGCCTGCCCAGGCGGGTCTCGAACCCGCGGGCTCAGGCAATCCACTCACCTCAGCCTCCCAAAGGCACGGGATTACAGGCTGAGCCACCGAGCCTGGCTTGCATAGGAATAAGTTAGACTCACTTTGTAGAAAGTCTTCATACTGAATATTTTTATTTGGCATCTCATCTGCTATAAGAGAGACCCATCTCAACAGTTTCTATTTTAAAAAATGTGTGTGTGTGTGTGTGTGTGTGTGTGTGTGTGCGCGCGTGTGTGTGTGCAGTGAAACATAGAATCCAAAAGCCTTTCTGACCCTTGGGGAACCTGGCTTTAACAGAGTTTTCATAGCCATGCAGATGTCTCAACTAATGGACTCTAAAATTCTTTAAGTAACGAGAGGTGTGGCAAAGGGCTGTATTTAGACAAAAAGTACCTTTTCTTCATTATCATCAAATATTTACTGCGCTCCATGGTCTCCGTGGCACCATTAGGTATTAAGTGTGTATTAGGGCCTTAAAAACAAAGAAACAAAAAGTCTTTTCCTGGGATGACATTGGGGAGGAGTAAGAAATGTGGACAATCATAAAAGGAACATTTAAAAATAATTCTGACATTGTTTTGAGCCATCCAGTCCATTCAATAAGTGATTCTAAGATATGATTTATGGCCGACAAATTGTTCACTCTTGGTTCCTCCCCTACTCCTTTCCATTTTTTGACACTTTCGACGGACCCCGAACCCCAAACTAACCAGGCTTAGCTGACCAAGAGCAAGTTCCCATGAACAAGCCATGCTGAGTTGTGGGGCATCCAGAATGGTGAGTCCTTCCGCCATGGAGCCCTGCCACTCTCCTCCTCTCTGGGTCCCCAGGCCGCAACCGAACGGACAGTTTTAGGATGCTCTCCAAAACGCCTCCGAAAGTCGACTTGGCTTCCCACACCCTGTCAAATAAAGGATGGTCAAATATGTCTCTCAAAGGTCCCGACGCAGGAAACATAGGGTTTTTAAGAGGAAAAAGGCCATATTGTGCACAGGGCAGTTTGTGAATTAAAGGCTTCGAGACCGTAGCAGAGATGAAACTTTTTCGGACAAGGCGGCTCCAGATCGGATGCGAGGGCGTGTGCGTGTGCGTGTGCGTGTGTGTGTGTGTGTGTGTGTGTGTGTGTGTAGGAGGGGGGAGGAAGGGGGGAAGGAGGGACCCTAGAATTCTGTTCAAACAGGTTTCTACTGCTTCGAACGCCCAACGGAAACACGGCCAGAAGCTTGGCAAAGGACTTCTATTTTGCCCGAAGATTTTCTGCGGGCGAGCCCAGGATGCGGCCCCTGGCGTGGGATAACGAGTGGCGGAGGGGGATGACACGGCTCCAGGTCTCTTCGGTCGCTCGGCTCCCCCCGATCCCCGGTGCGCCCGGGTGGCGCTGGCGCGCGCGGGGCCGGCGGAGTTTTCGGTTTCCACTTTTCCTCTCCAGGCCTCTCCCACTTCCTTCTCCCACCGGCTCCCTCCCGCCCGCCAAGTTCGGGGCGCCTCCCGCAGGGTCCCGGCCGCCTCCTCCCGGGACCACAAGAAAAAAAAAAGGGGGGGGGGGAGGCGAATTCCTGTGGTCCCAGGAGTGCCAAGAGTGCGCAGCAAGACGGGAAATTGCAAAAGTCCTCACCCCTCCGCCCGCCCCCGCGGTTTTCCCGTAACTCCCGCCCCCGGGCGCTCGCCCCGCAGCTGATTCATAGCCCCGGCCGGCCCGGGCCGTCTCTGCACGTCCGCCCCGGCGTCCACACCGGCGTCCGCACCGGCGCCCCCCGCGCCGCGGAGGACTCGGCCCGGCTCGCGGAGCCCGTCGCCGGCCGCGTGAGTACCCTCGGCCGGCCGGCCGCCCGCCCGCCCGGCCGGCCCGCGCTG